CGAGTGACGGCGCCTTGTGGTTCCCCCGGCAGGAGCGGGCCCGGGATGGCGGCCGGGGGCCCGGCGGGGGGGGCGCACAGCGTCTGCATGGTGTCGGACTTCTTCTACCCCAACATGGGGGGCGTGGAGAGCCACGTGTACCAGCTGTCGCAGTGCCTCATCGAGCGGGGCCACAAGGTCCTGGTGGTCACCCACGCCTACGGCTGCCGGAAGGGCGTCCGCTACCTCACCAACGGGCTGAAAGTCTACTACTTGCCCCTGAAGGTGATGTACAACCAGTCCACGGCGACGACGCTCTTCCACAGCCTGCCGCTGCTCAGGTACATATTTGTGCGGGAGAGGGTCACCATCGTCCACGCCCACAGCTCCTTCTCCGCCATGGCCCACGACGCCCTCTTCCACGCCAAGACCATGGGGCTGCGGACGGTGTTCACGGACCATTCCCTCTTTGGGTTTGCGGATGTCAGCTCGGTGCTCACCAACAAACTTCTGACGGTGTCCCTGTGCGATACGAACCACATCGTCTGTGTCTCCTACACGAGTAAGGAGAACACGGTGCTGCGAGCAGCCTTGGACCCTCAGATAGTCTCTGTCATCCCCAACGCTGTTGATCCCACGGACTTCACTCCAGACCCGTCAAGAAGGGATGACAGTACGATAACAATTGTTGTTGTCAGCAGACTTGTTTACAGAAAAGGTAATGGGGGATAAAATGTAAGTTTATTTTGGTTAATTTTTATTTTAGGGTATGGAAATAAAGATCTTGGTTAGGTACTGCTTACACTGTATTTGTGGTATGGACTGGATTTTAAAGGGGAATTGCAAAGTGACAGTGCTGAGCTTTTTCATCTGCATTCAAGAAGAAGAAATGTCCATTTCAGTTGGCACATGTTGGGTTCGGAGGTGTATTTCTTTTGTAATATCGAAGATAGTGGAAATTGAAATTTGTAAAATGGAAGGTTTGTCTTATATCAGGGATATGATTTAGGCCCTAATCTATATATTTTGCTAGAAATGTTTTAATTGTTTTTTGTTTAATCAAGCAACAGCAATTTAAGTGATTTTTTTTCATATTTGTCTCCTAATAGATCACAAGTTGTCTTTTTTTTTTTTTTTCCGAATTTTATGTTCAGCAGTGTAACTGTCTTCGAGACCTTTATTTTCTTCTCTTGAATAGAGTTCTTGCAGTAAGCTACATCATAAGTTCTAAAGTCAAATACAGTAATGGCTTGCCCTACATTTTCTATTCTTAGGTATAGATTTGCTTAGTGGTATCATTCCTGAGCTCTGTCTGAAATATCCAGAATTACATTTCTTAGTTGGAGGAGAAGGACCAAAACGGATTGTACTGGAAGAAGTCCGGGAAAGATACCAGCTGCATGACAGGTTGGTTCTATGCATGTCTATGACTCTTAAATGTACTTCAGGGGTAAGAAAGACAACAGCAACACTTTCTGCCTGCCCCCTCCTCCCAAAAACCACCGAAAGCTTGGGAAGGTGAGAAATATTGAAGCCAAGGCAGATAGACCAGACACGTAACTGAAGACTTAGAGTTGGACTGTGATCTTGCAAGTTAATTCATAGAAATAGACCCTGTATGAATCTTCACTCAAGTCAGAGAAGCTTAGACATAAATTTATCATATTCCTCTCTGAAACTGTGGTGTGTGGATCACATATTACCATATGGCATAAGTTATTAGCTAGTTTGTGTCCCTGCTGCTTATGAGGATGACTGCTAGTAATTTATTTTATTATTTCAGTATGAAACTCTTCAGGGCAGTGCTTATCCAGTATGTGTTTTTGTGGTACTACAAACATGTTCCTGGTGCTGCTGTGTTACCGGTTTCTGTGATGCATATGTGTTTGTGTCTTTCTTTGGGGTTTTCTTGTTCAAATAGAGTTTTATGTGGCAAGGACAGGGTTCATAATTTTCTGTTTCCTTTTCTCTGTTTTCAGTTGGCCATTCTGTACTTCAGTCAGTGATTCCTGTGATAAAATTGTATCATTCTTATTTAGCCCTTTCCTGTTTCCCAGTATCTCTTCAAAGTAATGGATCCTGATCATTGTATCCTAAATACTTTGCCCTCCACCCCAGACTGAGATTGATCAGACCTCACACTGAAAATTCAGATAATACATCTAAACAACGAAAGGATGACAGATCTTAACTGCATGAAGCCATGTTCTCTCACAGAACTAGAAAGCTTAATAGCAATGTTTCGAAGGCAGTTGTCATTAAAACAAAGCATCTTCCTTCCCCAACTTTGTTTTCAGAAGTTTCTTTTAGTGTAAAAATAAGCAGCAGTCTTCTATTTCTTTTCTTTGTTGCTGCGAAAATTTAAAGATGGAGCAAAGGTGTCAGTGTTCCTTGTCTCGCTATATAACTGTGACTCGTTAGTACATTTTTCAGAATATGTGTAACACTAGACAGCATTATTACTGTCCAAATCTAGTGTTTATCTTTCTTCCCCCCCACTGTCTTATATGCAGGGTACGTCTCCTAGGAGCCTTGGAACACCAGGATGTTAGGAACGTTCTAGTTCAGGGGCACATTTTTCTCAACACTTCTCTTACTGAGGCCTTTTGTATGGCAATCGTGGAAGCAGCAAGCTGTGGTTTACAGGTAAAAAAAGTTTAAAAGATCTCAACTATCTACCGCATATTTTAAACAAAGTTCATGATTAAGTGGTATGTGCTTGTAACATTTTATTTCATCTGAGGCTCTGTCTTTACAAAGGTGAGCAAATATTATCCCCATTTACAGATCACCTGGATGCTGAGACAGAAGGGTTAACTGAAACTGCTTAAGCTCCCAGAAGAAACTTGTGCAGAACTGGGAATATCATGTAGATGAACTAACTCTCAGTTCTCCGAACTAACCAAACTGCCTCTCCACAATGCTATTTTGTATGTACTTCTTTACAGAGTATTGGGGTCGTCGATGTTCATGGTTTACTTTGACACTGCAGAAAAATGGCTCATGAGCACGGGTGACTGGTCAGTCAGGCTTATTGAATTGCCAGACTAAACCTTTGTACCAGAACCGTATTATTCCTGCACCAGGAACTGGCAATCGTTTTCTTACAGTAACTGAGGATGTATTTGCCTTACTATGTAGGGATTCAAGACAGGAGTTGGAGAGAGAGAAAACAGTAAAAGCCGTTTCTGCCTAGTTTACAACTCAGATTGACAACTCAAAAAAAGTTAAATCAACAGCCATAAAGAACTTACATTCTTACATTAAAATATGAAGAAAAATTTTTAAAAGACAGATTGATAAGAGTATCTAATATACAAGAAGTTTAGAAAATGTGAGGGACTTTTTTTTTTTTTTTATTCCAGTATCCTTTGACAGTAGTTACTACCTAGTTGTGGTAGTTCCCCTGTCATCTGTTTTCTTCTCTAGAGGTGTGGAAATTTTGCACTTTAGAGATGATTGTGCAGTGTGAGTCTTAGTAGTTTCTGATTTTCCTTTTAATAATAATAATCCAGATTAAAATTACCAAAATTCTAAAGAAATTCTTGTAGAAGGCATAAACTGAAGGTGGATGTGGTAAAACTCTCCAAGTAGAGGTAACCTTTTTCATGAGGTACTGTGGAGAGAATGTCCAAAATCTGGTTATACAGATTTACTTGTGTAATATGAGAAACAACTTAAGGAAAGATGTCTTAGAAGACGTCATCTTATAAGTGGTTTATGTTTTGTCATGTTACTGAAGAATCATTCTCAACATCATTAAAGGTATTGTGCTAATGCTAGGTCTTTTCTAGGGCCTAGACCATTAGTTTGCATACAGGTAAAATTTCCAAAGCATATTAGTCTTTGTGGCAACCACTCCTATTTTTTTTTGCTATTCTTCTTAAGTGCTGCATCTAAGTGTAATAGCAGTGTCATCACTCTATTGTTATGTAGCATATGTGCTATTTCTTTTGTTTCTTTCAAAGGTGGTGAGTACAAGAGTCGGTGGGATTCCTGAGGTGCTTCCAGAAAATCTCATTATTTTATGTGAACCCTCTGTGAAATCTTTGTGTGATGGACTAGAAAAAGCTATTGCCCAGCTCCGTTCAGGTACACTACAATCTCCAGAAACTGTTCATAATAAAGTGAAGACATTTTATACATGGAGGAATGTAGCAGAGAGAACTGAAAAGGTACGTATAATCACTTCTTTTAAATTCTCTTAAAGTACATTTCTGAAACAGCTGTTTCTTTGAAACATTACTATGTACCTTCTCTATGTAAGCTCTCAGTGTGATTTTTTTTTTTTTCAGTGTGTTTCCTGTCAAACATACATGGTTTAAAAAGGTTCAGAAAGTTGGGGTTTTTTTCCACAAATACATCCCTAGGTCGGTGGGTTTTTTCTATTTGCACTTTTTTTTCTATGCCATAATTGCTGAAAAATATTCTGAAGAACAGCCTAGATCTTCTTACATTTCTACTCATATTTTATCTAGTCTTCACATTAAGTAACTTTTCGGGCATAATGGAAAACATGCTGTTTAAGATGTATGAAAAGATGGAATTCATGATGTTTTGTCTGCCATGTGCAAACAAGTGGTTTAAAATTATGAGAGGTAGTTTAATGCTGGTAGGCTGAACGTAGCTGAATTTACATAAGCTATGGATGTAATGAAAATAATTTCTCACATTTTTGAAATCATATTTCAGAAATATAGCTATGCTTCAGCATAAAAACTCTGCCGTTAATGAAGAACGTTAACTGCAATGATGTTAGAAACAACAGATCTCCTCAGGTGTTTATGACTTCAGCCCCTATATTTTAGGCAAGAGAGTAGCTGAATCCCATGCCTCTTAATTACACTGTAGTGTAATCAGATATATATCTCTTACAAGTCTCCTTGAATATCATGTATAACCAGTTTATTGTTTTCAAGTACTGTCAGCACAATTCACTTTATGATTTTGTAACTGCAAGCAATATTTCAACTGCAAAATTTTTATAGAAGTTAGTCTAGGTTTCATTTTCCCTTGTAGCGCTTTCTTAAAAAAAACCAAAAAAACAAAAAACAAAAAGCACAACTCTGTGAAAGAAAATATAATTGGAAGAAGTATGCACAGAACTTATGTTGTGCAAAAGACAGTTGGTTTTTAGCCCATTGTTAAGTTACATGTAGGATGAAGTCTGTAATGTTCTCAAGGAAAAAACTGTATTCTTTAAGCCTTTTTTGAGTGTGTAGTGGGTATTTATGCTTCTATTCTGTGAAACTCGGGACTATATATTTTTTTTTTTTAGTGGTTGTGGTTAATATGTATATTGAGTCACAAGTAGCATGTAATTTGCTTTTCACATTTATTGAATTTTAAGAATTTTACTAAGAATTGCTAGTGCTTCTTTAAATGAAGATCAGTACCCTATTATGATTTGCTTGATTGTTCAAATACAGCAATTTGGAAGATTGCCAACTCGTCTGAGTTCATCCATCTTTGTGTTGAAAATCTAGTAATTGCATGTTCAGACTTTTCCTATCACTGGTGTGAATATGAGATTAGAACCCATTCAATTAAAAAAACCCAACCCTCTCTATATAATATTACATGAGAGACATGAAGATTCTTTCATAAAAGAGCCTTCCTATTTAATGAAATAATCTTGAGGTCTGACAAAAAAATAGAACATTTCTTTTTCTTTTTCTCCTTAAATAAATTAATGAATTTTGTAGAACAGTACTCATAAATCAACACCTAAAATCTGCACATCTTTTCTGTGGTAATATGTCTCATCTAGTAGTTAGGAATAGGCAATTTATTTTGCACACTGACAACAAAGTACTACCTGATTTTTGAGGTAGAAGCAACATCGTTTTAAGATTTTACTTTCTTTCTCTTCTCCATTTAGGTGTATGACAGGGTTGCAGATGAAGTGGTTTTACCAATGGATGAGCGACTTAACAGACTAATGTCTCACTGTGGCCCAGTGACTGGGTACATTTTTGCTCTTTTTGCTGTTCTGAACTTCCTTTTCCTGGTGTTTCTGAGGTGGATGACTCCAGATTCCGTTATTGATGTTGCAATAGATGCCACAGGACCTAAAGGTGCATGGACTAAACAGTATTTTTTGGGGAAAAAAGGGAGAGTTAAAGAAGAATTTCCAAGCTCCTAAAACGCTCAAATGAAGAGGAAACAATACATCAGACGCTAAAGGTTTTAATGCTTGCTGAGAGACATTGCTCTTAAAATTCTTCAGTTTCTGTCTGAAGTTCTTAGAAAGAAACTTGTTTAAATATGCTACCTCAATTTAGGATTATGTTTTAATTTAATTTTGGATTCATGCAAATTTATGGACATCTCTTTTGCACTTAAAGCTGGGAGGAAACGATGGCTTTTTATATGTGCCAAGAGCCTTTGAGACAAAAATACAGATTTTTCTCAACAACTTGAATATTGTATTAACAGAAAGTTACTGTAAACTTTAGTGGTATTTGGGAAAGAAAGACAGAAAAATTATTAGCTTACAGTAGTCCCTGTTAATTCCTGATATTTACAGTGATTTTTATTTTGAGACTTATTTTTAAATATTTAATTGAAAACCCAGCAGAACATACCTTTTCTCTCCTAAGATGAAAATGACACTTGAAATTAGCAATGAACTCTATTACCATGGAAATTTCAGAGACTTATTTCTAGCAGTTGTGTCCCAGTGACAGTGTTTTGCCTGCATAGTGTTATTTTGAGGTTCTTCCCTAATCAGATTGGATTGTCCTGTTGCTAAATCAAAACTCCATAATGAATTTTTTGATATTTTCAGAGGTGCTAAACTTGTCCTGTTCACTTACATGTGTGAAAGTGATGTAAAGCTTATGGCATTTTTTTAAAGCACATAGGTGAAGAAATTATGTCATTTAGAGATAATACAGCCTTCAGAAACAGCTCAGGCCTGAAAACTCCTCCAGCAGACTATGCCAAAGTGTGAAGTAACACATGTGTGTGTGTGCAGTGGGTGAGAAATATATGAAGGGCTTAGCAAGCACCATTGTGCTTGTTTGCTCTCTCTCCCTTCCCCCCCCCCCTTTTTTTTTTTTTTTTTCTTTTTCTTTCCCCTTACTTCTGATCAAAATGGCATTTCAGCCCATCTCTGGGAGGGACAGTGTTTAGTGTGCTAAATCAGAGATACTGTCAGGCAGGTTCTGGTGTAATCTTGGGAAGGTATCCCTTAAATGGAAATAACCAATAGGTATACTTTTCATGGAAAGGAAAAAAAGTCTACCTGGGGCAATAAGCAACACAGCATATCAATGTGTGAGAGGGGGCATTTATCTCATTTATGTCAATCGCCTCTGAAACTCCCCCTGCCTAATGCACTGCATTAATTTCTTTTTCAAGCATTACTAAAGACTAAAATTTCTATTATTTTGACTTGAGTATTATGTAGTGTTGGACACTGTATTAATGTTAAAACTCTGCAATATGAAAATACTGTTTCCAAACTCCTGAAGGGGGAAGTATTTAAAATACAACTTTTGTCAATATCATCTTGTTTCTGTAGACATAGTTACTTTGACATCTGACATTTTATAATTTAATTGAACCTATTTTCATAAACCAGAAAGGTAATATGAAATAAACACCACAGACAAAGTCTGTGTTCTTTTACTAGAATTTTTAGACTTTGATATGTACCATACAATATGCATTGTATTACAATTTGACCTTTTCAAACTCTGCATGAAAAGTAGGGATCAGTTAAAGTGGTGCCACACAAATTATGGATAAATGGGTGGATTTAAGGTAATATTTTACTTTTCAAAGTTACTTTTTTTTTTTTTGTTCCCAAACATTCAAGTTTATAACAACTTTTTAAAAATACTGATGATCATTCCAGTGAAATGTTTATATACACATATATATATCTTTCAAATACTATTTTGTTGATTCTGGTTTATTTCTTTTTGGTTTCCTGCAAGACTATAACAGTTTTCAACAGGATTGTGAGAATCTATTAAAAATACTCTCTTGTAGAACATTGTGTACTTACGAGTAACATAGTAAAACCTTGTTATAGTCTTGTTTACAAGACAAATTTACAGTTTATCTGAAAGTTTATTTATCTTTTCATAAAGAATGAGTATTTTTCATTAATATATGGGAACATACAATTAGGAAATACAGGAATATACTCCATATTGCTGCTTCTCACCACTGGTGGTTGGTCTTCTTATGAGAAATATGATTGTTAAACATTCTGCACAAGCTGCCACAAAAATTTAATCTATAACTGGTTTAACTGCAAACATGCTGTTTCGCAAGTACTGCAACTTGTATTACACATAATTCTTTGTGGGACTGATTCACTTACTGGCTTTGTACAGTGGAATAAGGGATGATGTCACTGAATCATTTACAGTTTTAAAAAGCATCAGTGGGTAAAATAAAAAAGTTCAAAGAAAATAGTAACAACAATAAAAAACCCCTAAACAGACATAATGATAGTATTTAGAAATTAATAAAATAACTATTTAAAAAATCTAAAATGTTTCCATTGTGCTTGTAGGTAACATTTGATCATTGTGAAATACTAGGGAAATGTTACCAAAGAGAGTGATACTATGTCTTGCACTGAGCAGAGCCTCCTGTGTGGAGGAGGGAACACTCCTACATTATATGCAGACACTGTGAATGAAGGTATAGACCAAGTGGTGATAACTGAAAGTTTTATCTTAAACTAGAACTAGTATCAAGTAAAGTATGACTGTAAGATTTGTCTTTCAGATTGTGTTTTAGTGGATGTGGATGGATTTGTAAGAAGGTAAATAGACTGTAACGTACTTACTTTTGTGGTCAGGTTTTTCTGCATCTTTTAAAAATAAACTTACTTTTTGCCCTTTTGATTTTTTTTTTTCTCTTTGCTAGTCATTTTTTTCATGTATGGTTAGGTTCATATACAAATAATTGTAAAAGTGCATCCTTTTGAAGCTCCAGTAAAATACAGACTTTATGTAAATAGATATAGGAACAAACAATCTCAAAAGAAAATGGTTTTACAAACTTTTTAAAATTAAAAAATATTTAAATATTTTTAATTTCATTAACTACTGTAATGATATTTACTGTACATCTTTTATGACACTCAGTACTATGTTGAGTTTCACAGTTTTTTTCCTAATTACTTAAGCATTGGCATAGCCAGATAAAAGGTGGATATTTTTTGCAAAGGGAACAAAATTGAATGCAAGATGTGGTTATACATCCGAATTTACCATTGTACTGAAATTACTCTTTTTTCTTGTAGATTTAACAGATTGGCTTGATTTTGAATTCTGACTTGCTTCAACACTGGCGTAACTCAAGATGATATTTGTGCAGGATTCATTGAACTTTAACCGTGCATAAACTGGTTGTCTAGTACACATTTGTTCTTGAAGCCGGTTGTTTAAGCGTGGAGAAGTGATGGCATGCATCTGAAGAAGGAAGGAGTCATCCCCTGCTAGCACAGGCCTTGGAGGCAGACAGGGGAAAATTAATTGCCTGCTGGAATTTGCTGTCTTCCTGCCCAGGCAGCAGCAGGGGTTTAGACAACCAGACCTTATGTGGTGCAATGGGTGTCAGATAGGTGAGATGAATCACACATCTGCTTATTTGAGAGCAACCAGTGAGTCACTATATACATCCCTTCTAAAAGCAGGAGTGTTGTAAGTGTGCTGACCTAAGGATGCAAATGAGGCAAGGCTTGTATGGGAAGTGGTATCATTTATTAGATCAAACTGAGAGAAAAGAAATAGCTAGGCTCTCCATATGGCTTTGTTCTGATCTCTTCCCTTCAAGTAAAAGGATTTCTGTTTCCTTTTTTCCCCCAGTTGTCTTTGAATATATTTGATACTCACACTTTCAACTATATACATCAGAAATATACAACTGTAATTCAGAAAGTGTCTAGCATAAGAATAGACCAATACCTCTTCCTATTTCTTTGAGAAGAGAATCCCACTAATCTTTATTTCCTTGGCCAAATTCTTCAGATCACATCTAACATTTCTCGCTGTTGGCGAAAGTTAAAGTGAACTGTAGTGAAAATGAGTTGTCTTCTGAATGGGACTGCCTTTTGTGCTTATTCCTTGCATGTGTGTAAAGTACGGATGTATAAACATAAGCTTTTGAGTTCTTTGGAGGATCTAGCTAAACTGCTTCTATTCATTCAACACCTCATAACAATTTTATTGAAGGATTAATATATTTTCTGGATATTTTAATTTGATAATTAGCTGAAAGCTATAGTGATTCATGGAGTAGTTCAGGCATCTTGTAGAAGTTCTCAATGAGGTGGGTTTTCTACGGGGGACTGATTTATTCAGTCTATCAATGGAGTTGCATAATCCATCTCATTCAACTCGCATTCAACTCACAACGATGCTGCCCAAAACAGCGAGCGAAGAAAGATGGGATTCCTGATTCTGCGTTGTTGTTGCTCTTCTGTTGTGTTATATCTGTTCTCGTGCCTATGTTGTTCACCTTTCTTTAGTTTCAGAAATACCAGACAGTTCCAAGTGATCGCACCATATCCTGCTGCAGCTTACCTGACTACCACCTTCACCAGTATAAATACTTCCTATACTGATCATCCATCTTCCCACTGATTTTTTTTTTTAATCCACTGCAGTAATTTTCCTAATGTTCTTGTACACTAAGAGCAGATTAAGAGATTACATGAGTTTTTCTCAAAATCTTCCATCATGTAACTAAAAATCTTTAGTTGTCTTGTTCTGAAGTCAGGACGGTGATTTTGCTACTACACAAATGGAGCTTGTCTTTCTGGAAGAGTCATGTCCTTGTGACTACTTCCAAGTGGTCAAACTTCCTCATGGCTTTTTAGCCCACCTGCAGAGCTCTTCACTATTACTGGAGTTTCACTTTCCTTTAGGAATAATAGAATTTCAGTGGAAATCACCTGATCTCTAGTTTCTTGTATTTTTCTGAGGGTTGTGGACTTCTACTATTTGGCAGGCTGATTGTGAAAGAAGATCAATGAATCTCCTTTTCAACCAAAAGTCCATTTTCTGGTTTTCTTTTAAAAGGTGCTGTTCCTTCTTGCTTACATTCTATTGAACACCAGTTTTGTAGGTCCCACGTGAGAAAGATTTCTCCCTTATTTGGGCTGTGGGCTGACCTTTTCTTTGTAATTTTTTTTCTGTGTTGTTTTTTTTGTTGTTGTTTTTTTTTTCTTCTCTGCATCCTATACACCTTTTGCTATTCCTTTGGCTTCAGGAGGAGTATTTTCATTATCTCGTATTTTTCTAGAGTTAACTGATCATCCCTTTTTTGGTACACCTTTGTTTGCTAATTTATCCTTTTTGTTTCACAGTTGAGCAAACTTAACTGTTTTTCTTTGATTTCTTAATTTCTCTTGCTTGTAATCTGTGTCTTCAGCTGTCTTGTGGCTAAGAGTATTAAAGTGACTGAAAATAGGTACAAAATTCTTTTGGATTCATAGGTGTTATAGTTTCTACAGGTACATTACTGTGGAAGGAAAGGTATATGTAATATTTATGTAAAGCGTTAAGTTATTGGTAAAAATGTAATATCTTGGTTTAATTCAGAATTTTAGAAAAACTGGTTCACTTGAAAAAATAGCTTGGGGTGTTTTTTTCAGTCTGTCTGCACATATTTTATAGATCATTCTAGTGCACCTGGGAGTGCAGAGTGCTGAAGACAGCAAGGTACTAAGCCAGCTGTATTGCTGCAAAACAAAACAAATTGCATCTAAAATGTCCAGGGAAATAATTTGCTGTAAAATTTCCTTCTGCATATCCACCATCTCCTTGGGATCTCTAAAAGAGGAGAGTCATCTTGCATTTTCCCTTGACAAGTGTGTAAATTGAAGCGTAAGAGAACCTGGGCAAGGAGGGGAATTCAAAGAAAGAAAGAAATCTCCCTCTGCTGTGCATATAGGAAAATAGGAATCAAGCCTAAATGGAAAGGAGACAGGGTATTCTATATAGATTCAACTAATTAACACGCAGAAAAAAATTACTCTGTTCTCTATGGAAGCCATGTGCCTTCAGAAAATAAAAAGAGCAGTTAAAGAGTGTGTCGTCTTCAGTTTCAAGTATTACACCTTTGAATCAACGATGGATAATCTAAAAATATTTCCTTTCAAAACAGTGAGATGCTGTTTGCAAGAGATACGAATGGACACCACTCTTAATCCCTGAGTGATGGAAAATACCAGTATGTTATCATGTGTTTCTGATTACATATGTTCAGTGTATTTTTTCCCCTCCTAGTATAACTTTGACTTCTTAGCCCTGGCTTTGAAAATATGTGGTTTTATTTCAGATTCTTTCATGATAATGATTTTCTTTGATATGCTTGCGTTTGTTCTGTATCAGAGTACCAGCAAGGCCTGTTACCAAGACAGGAAAGACAGAAAAGTATTCTTTTTGCAGTATCTCTGAATAATTTCTGCAACTTTACCTATGTAGCTTTTGTACATGGAACTGCTGCATCAAATAATATAGATATAAAATGTGGATGTATAGGCTTTCAGGTGGTATGCAGAGCATCTATCTGAAAATTTATTCTAATTATGTGGGTTTGGAAAGGATTTTCTGTTTGTTTCCTATATGGCACTGGATGTTCAAACTATCTTATCCTTGGTATTGTTATTTAGTATCAAATAACCCATACCAAATAAAACCAGAATGTATTTTTGGTAACTGAGGAACAGCAGGTTCTGGAGGGTTTAAAATAGATGACATACGATACCAAGAATAGCCCAGTGCAATTTAGCCAACCTGAGAAACTATTTGAAGAGCAAACCAAAATGGAGGGCAGTTCTATACTCCATGCTTTCACTAACATTTATTTTGCCATTTTTGCTTTATTTTGCTTCAAGCTTTTAATTAAGATTTCCTTGGCTTTGTTGACCCATTTCTATATTGTTAAAGGCAACAGAAAAGAGGCTGCCAGGATAGCAGAAGAGATCTATGGAATAGTCCCAGGTAAAGTAAAGATATCGACACTAACATTTAAATGCGTATTTGCTACATTTTTGTAATCTGAGGATTTAAATAATTGAGTTTCCATGAAAGGAGGAATCTACTGCTAAATGCAGGGGTGAATGTTTTAACCTGAAGTGCCTTCCGTTTCTGGGGTCTTTGCAGTGTCAGTATGTGTTGGCATGATTTAGGTGTGCAAAATATGAGACTCCAACAACAATTACCCAGCTAGAATGAGGACAACATTTGCTCAAGGCAGTATGGTAAATAAAAAACTTGTTCTCGGAAGCAAGGCATTCTTTTGTGGGGGTTACAGATGGTTTTACTAAATAGCTAGCTTTACTTCCAGAGAATATTTAGGGAAAAATTTTAGCATGTTAATTTTCTGAAAGGAGATACTAGAAGGATATAACTAATGATTTTATGAATCCAAGCCAAGAACCTCTGTTTTGTTAAATCAGATGATAAAATGAATACAGCTAAAATTATTCTGAAACAATATATTCCTGTTCCATATATTTATTTAGACTATTTAGTAGGTATTTTTAAATTTTTTTTTCAAAGTGATTTTACTCCTTCACATCACTGCCATATTAATGAGTAAACATGTATTTGCATGCCCAGTAATTCCACTAATTAAAATTACACAGTATTTTAAATTTGCTACTAATGAGGACTTATTTTCCTACCTGAAGATTCTCATCAGCATTGTGACATCACAGATTTTTATGTGCCTCATTTGTTGGGCACTTGCTTCGTGATGAACAGTGCCATCATCAACAAGAATATGAATGTGAGCAGAACATGGGTGGTCTGAGACAGCCACCCAAAGCAGAGAGATTAAGATCAGGCCAAGAGAAATACTGCAGCAAAGCATTTTTTACAAAGCCTTTATATATAGGCATGTCTGGGTTATTAATTTATTTGTTGTCTCCAGAATATAATTCCAGTCATTTGTTACTGTCATTTTTTTCCAAGTGCCTTTATGAAATTGTAGTCAGACACGTGGCAAACAGCATTTTTTCCTTTGTGCAGGTTCTTATCGAAGTGCCTTGAAGTTTAGCAGACCGCAACATATTTTTATCTGCAAGTTGCCATTTGCAAAAAGCTATTAAGGATAATCTTACACAACATAAGATCATGTGATACTGTTGCTGGGGTACTATATTGGATTACAGGTGGAGCTTCACAGACTTTTTGCTTTGCAGTGAAGTAGTGCAGCTGCAGCAGGGCTCCTTAATTTATCTGTAGACATTTAAAAATACACAGTATTTTCAGACATGTCACTCACAACTGTGAAGGGAAGATGTGCCCCATATGGGAACTATATTTGCCACACTTTTCAGGGAGGTAGGTTGCTGTGGCTAGCATGGAAGTATGTAGCAGCATGTGTTTACATGGTGAGGCATGTGTGCGTTGTAAATGCACGTGATGTGTGATTGCATGTGCTATGCTATATGCATAAAAGATTAAATAAGCCACTGTACCTCTGTTGTCTGAGTTACTTCTGAATCTTCCCGCTGTATAAGGTCCCTGGGTTTTGTCATTTCCACTGTCTTCTAACTTTTTGAACTGAGCTTGTGTATGTGAGTCACCAGCATGATGAGGGATGTGGTCTTTTTTTGATGTTTTCAAGAAAATGTTTCTTGGTCCCTACCTAGCTCCTGTTTCCATCATTTTGCCTGGTATATCCTTCTTGGTCCTTAAGAGCCTGGCTGTATATGGTGCGACCTGCCTTAGTGTGCATGTTGCCATCTTCCTGCCTTAGGAGCCCAGGAACAGCTCCTTAAACAAACGGAACACAAGTTAAAACCAAAACCCCATGAGCTGAAGCGCATCCTCGTTCTTGGGCAACAAAAGGATACTCCCTTAGCCAAGGCTGAAACCTCTGCTGTGTCCTTGGCCTGAAGTCCCCAGGGATGTGTCTGTGCCTCTCATTGATTTCTCTCTGCTTTGGGTAATGCCTGAAATGGAGATAAATCACCCTTTCCATTCTCTGGTGTGCAGTGTAGCTGAAAAAATTAAACAGGACAAGGGTTTCAAATACAGTGCTCATGGGGTTGCTGTACAACAGAGCATGAATGCAAACACTGGTATTGCTTCTGTCCTGTGGCACTGTAAATGCAGGTGGCCTTTGGAGAAATACTTACTACACACTGTGTTGCAGTATAGTTATCAATTTTAATATAGGACAAGTAAATTTGCTCTCCACTTGAGTTGAAGGCATATAACCTGGGCTGAGTGACTATGTCTGTAGGTAGTAGCTAGGCTAAGGAATTTTTTTTTTTCTTGGCACATTAATAGATTAAGATAAGAAAAAGGGCAGACTAGCATACATGAAGGAGTCTGAACAGCTCAACTCAAAGGGATTAAGGAAGAAAAGTAAAGCTTCAGGCAGAATTTATTTTTCCATGGCTTTTCTGAAGCCTTCCAGTGAGGAGGAGGATGAAACCTGCTAGTCTGAGCTGGAGGATATTATTTATGAAATTGTCAGTTCAGAATGTAAAACTGCCAGGGACATGTAAAATTAATTTGATGGACAAATGTCTCCCTGCTATGAGTATCTCAAGGAAGTGCAAGAGAAGCTGGAATGTGATTTGTGACAGAAGATTGCTAGGAAAGACAAAGGCTGGTAGGGTTTTGAAAGGAGAATTGCAGGACTTTGAAGTGCCCAGGTGAATCCCAGCAGCATGAAACTCGTGGTCTTTGCTGAAGTGTGTTTTTAGCTGTTTTGAAAAGTTCTGACCAGAAGCTTTTAAGTCCCTTAGCAAGCAGCCAGCTTTCTCAGGAGTGATGAGCCCTCAGCTGCTCTGCTGAAAGCAGTTTATCATGCAGTTTCACCGCTGACCCCACACGGATTTCAGTCCCTGTCTGCATTTACACGCATCTGTTTTTTCCCTGCCCTCCCAGGATCTGGATGTGTTGCTTACTGAATTAACTTCTATGCATCTGCTGTTTCAGGCAGCTGGGCAGACCGATCCCCTCTTCATGACGCTGCCTTCCAAGGACGCCTCCTGTCTTTGAAAACCTTGATTGCACAGGTAAAAGCCCACAGGTAAAGAAAAGGTTGGGAAGCAGCGTAGTTTCTGTTGAATTGCATCTGTGAGTTGGTGAGCTTGTAATAGACTACAGCAGGCCATAAGAAATGCAGTTGTATAAACAATACGTTTGCATGTACACTTTTGGGCATATATTAGTTTGCTTAGTTAGGATGCTGGAGACAAGCCCTGGACAAAGATTATTACAGCTTGTAGATTGTTGTATGATAAGCAATGATCTTTGGGCTCTTTCTCAATGAGAAGTCTCATGTAAACTGGTCTTAAGAACAGGGACAACATATATATCAGCTATTAAAAAATGTCGGTAGAAAGCTGTAAAAGTACATCTTGCTTTACAAAACAGCAAGCATGGTCTTCCTAAAGAAAGAGCTGTCAGTCTTAAACCCTCTGCTCCAAATGGAACCAAGAGTTAGGCAAGAGGAAGAGAAGAAGAAAGATTATACAAGAAAGGATGAGAAGCTGGATATGAAAGTGGGCAGCTGTCAAGGGACAGGTTACGATTCTTTGTGTTTTACCAACCATCTCCCTTACCACCTCTGCTTAAACTCAATGCCATCATCTGGCACGAAGGAGCAACTGTCCCCCACTCCACCTGAGTGTAAGCTCTGTGACTTGGCCATCAGACTTTTTATATTCAAGGTAGATAGTTTTTTCTATGGAAAAGGGAAGTGATGGAGGTTGGGGATAATAAGGGAAAGGGCTTGTTCATTTAGGGGTTTGCTGGTTTTCTGACCCTCTCTATCTCCATTTATGTTGACCTTACAGCACCTTGTTAGTGGGGCACCCGGTGTTGTGGTTATACACTAGATGCCCCAGTTATACACTGGTCATGGTTACACACTGGAGAAGTACCTGGTGTGGTTATACATTATTTAGTTAATCTACCCTTTCTCTTTCTCCTGAAGACATTTAATTTTGGGAGTGAAGGATAAGGGTCCTTGCTGATGAAACGAGATCAAGGCAACAATGTCTGTAGAGACTGCACTGGAGCTGATTCACCACAGCTTGATAAATGTAGGGATGAAGCTGTTCATGGAGCAGCATAATCATTGCTCATTGCTTCTAATATAGTTACACCACTAGCCTAAAATTAAATATGGATCTATAGAGTATATGTGGGACACTCAGAAGTCTCTGGCGTAGGACCATAGCTTTCAAGAAAGCCAGTGAGGCTTCTGCTTCCCAGGGGATACCAGGACATAAGGGGCAATGGAGTGCTGGAGTTTTAAAAGACCTCAAGGACTCACCAATGCCTGTTCTGGCACTGGAAGAAAAGTTTGATTTTCAGATACGTTTGGAAGATTTTAATAAACATTTGAAACAAGGTTTAGCATGAGCAGTGTTTGCCAAACAGCTATAGTAAGACCTATAACTCAGTCTCCATTTCATAACAATGGATTGCTGGTTTGCCTTTCATTTGCAATGACTGAGTTTCATTTTTAAAATACATATATGAATAATGATTGAGAATATGATTTTGTCTCAGTATGATTCTATCAATAGCTCTCCTTATCGGGACTACCTAGAAGACATTCCTCTTGAAGGAATATGCTGATCATTAAGTATGAAACATCTATACAACTAGAAAATGGAATAATCTCAACATTTTTTCAAGGTTTCATCTATTCCCTTGGCACTGATGAATGAGAAGTTTTAGTGACAGCCTTTAAATTAATAATTATTTAATGTAACTGAAAAACTATGTTTTTCTATCATAGATTGTTTTTTTATCTTAAAGTGGGTACAGTGCTTGCTTTTAATGCTCACTGCATAGGGACTGGTGAGTTTTACAGTGTTAGATTGCTCAGAGACTTACTTCCACCCATCTAATTTTCTATTGCCTATCAAAAAGTGCATTGCTGCCATCTTGTGATCTTCCGTGTTTATAGCACATCAGGTAGAGACAAAAAGAAAACATGTTACAAAACCCAAGACGTGGAGTGGAAAATGGAGCTGCTTCCAGGCCTGTTCTCACACATGGTTGTGAAACCTTAATTACCAGGAGATCTAGCTGCATTCTGGGGAAAGCACATATGACAATTGCTTTCTCCTTTGTGAATACGTCTGGTTTCTGTTTGTGCAGGAATAGATGTAAAAACTGTTATTTAGGGAAATACCTGTATAAGCAGCAGTTCTTTCTTCCAGTGCAAAAGCATTTTGTGGGTGGTCGATAAGAGGAACTGATTCGTGGGTAAGATTTGTCTCATCTATCTTAGGGTTTTGCCAGGTACTTACTACTTTTGAGTGAAACACACTGGGCACTCATACACCCCATACGGTCAGTGGAGGTATTTTTCAGACAGAATTCATCTGACCTACTAGAAACAGCTGGTTTCACATGGGATAAATCACACCCTAGGGGAGCCTGTTTCTCCCCGCTGAATGAACCATGGGCTTCAGCTGAGGTGCTGATACCTGTGCCAGCGGTGTCCCTGCTCAAGGAGGCGAAGTTCACCAACTGTAGTCCCTGTTGGTGCTGGACTTAATAGGAAATGTAATGCCACCCTCATAATTAAAGAAATGTGATGTCTTTCCTGTGGTTGACTCTGCATTGTAAAGAACTGGAAACAGAAGGCATAGCCTGTCCTTGATTTCTCTTTAATGCCATCACCAGCTGCTGTCTATGGGGATGAGCACCAAAGCACTGAACAGCACTAATCCAACCCACACACCTTCCCTGGACACACACCCAGCAACATGGCTCTCCCCTGGCTGCAGTCCAACTGCCCTTCATGCCTGTGCTGGTCCAGGGGCAGCCGCGTGGTTTGGGCAGGGCTTTCCCCTCATGCCCCCCGCCCTGCGTTGCAGGGTTTCAACGTGAACCTGGTGACGACAGACCGTGTGTCGGCTCTCCATGAGGCCTGCCTGGGTGGCCACGTTGCCTGCGCGAAGGTGCTGCTGGAGAACGGCGCTCAGGTGAGCCCCGGGGAGGCTGGGGGGGACGCGGGTGGCTGGAGCATGGGTGCTCCCTGCAGCAGCGGGGATGTCAGATGGGCTGCCCGAGTGGCAGGGCCGGGATGCGGACAGACAGGAGCATCTCAGGCAGAAACGGGGAAAAATAAAACAATGCTTTGTTTCTGTGGGTGACTGATTTGCCTTCCCTGGTGGCTGCTTGGGTCACCTCATTATTCTGTTTTGTTTTCCCTCTGTATGTGAAATGTAGTCACGATTGCTGGAAAAGGAATGAGAAATGCTAGGTGAAGAAAATTACATCCCTTTTTCTCCCCCCATAATGATCACTGAGCTCGCCTCCGGTTTTCTGTGGGATGGTTTGAGAGTCTCACATAAGTAAAAATAGACGTGCTTGAAGCAATGCAACGTTTTATCTGCTAATAAAATAACATTTTCCTCAGTTGGACCTAAGGTAGAATACATGTTAATAATGGAGATAGAGGAATGGGTGAAATACATACTAATATATTTTCATTCACCTGGCTTTGATAGAGGAATGGGTGAAATACATACTAATATATTTCATTCACCTGGGTTTTCAAGTACAATTTATATGGTAAGAAACTGAGCAACACCAAAACAGGCAATCAAGCTATCCTCTGCAGAAGAAAATGCAATTGTTAACTACATAAACTGTATGCCAAATTTCAATCCCATAGCAAGATGAAAAGAAAACCCTTTTCTACTCAGTTTTACTTGATTTTGGTAAATTAATGGCATTGCCTTTTTATAACTCAGAGAATCATCTCTAAACTACCTGTTGGTTCCCTGAGAAATCAGCCTATTCCTGGTATAATATATAGCTCCAATCTTTTTTTGCTTTTGCTTTCCCCCAGCTCTCTGTTCATAAATAAAGTCAACAGGCAGTTGTCTAACTTCTGGGAGAAAAATACACCATTCTGCTGCTCTCCTTTCTTGCTGTACTCTCTTTTATTTCCTTTTTTTACCAAACCATTTACTCTGTAGTATCTGTCTTACCATTCTTTCCTCTTTTACCAGTTAAACCAAAGCCCAGTGGAGAAGGAAACCAAAGAAGTAATATTTCTTCTTCACTTATCTCCTTGCTTACCCTTGGTTATCAGCTTGCCTAAATCACTGGCCCTGTTGTGAAATGATGCTGATAGACCCCCAGTGCCTCCAGCAGCATCAGCCACATGTGCTTGATGAGACTGGGGGGAGGTGGGTGGCAGTGCTGAGCTGCAGGGCTGCAGCATGTAATCTTTCTGAAATACAGATATTCCCAAGGCATATCTATTTATTTCTTTTTGTTGTTTTAGAAGCTGTGCAGGATGAGGGATAGTTTACCTCAGCAATTAGCAGGAGGGGAGGAAGATCAAGGAAAAGGCTGGGATCTGCAGTGAGGATGCTGTTGAAAGAGAGTTTTAGTTGGACCCTTGCAATTTCAGGAAAAGCGAGCTGCATTTTTGGCTCCAAAATCTAAGCAGATATCCCCCATGCTGTCATACCTGGTATCTCCCCATATCATGCTGAATTGTCCATCTCCTGGACCTGCCATGATTATTTTCCAGCCAGATCTGCTCCTCCACCGGTTTTCCATGAAGGTGAGCAAGCAGAGGAAGCACCAGGGAACAGGGGCTGCCTCCACCAGTGTACCTGCCTAACCTGCAAGTGCAGTTTCATGTGCAGGAACGTGGCCTTGTGCTGGCTGCTGCATGGTTGGAGACTGCTGCTGAAGATGTCAAGGACTGAAACCCTGGAAATGGCAAGGACTGGCTTGTAATTGTGGGGAAAGCACCTTGCGGGAAAAGGAGTTAAGTCATACAGCATCGTGAACAAGAACAAATGGTACCTAGGAAGGTATCAACTGCAGATGGTCCACAGCTGAATTACCCAGAAGAGACCAATAGGTTCTTTCTTAAATGTCACTGTCTTTCCTTTAAAGGCAAAATTGAGTTAAGGTATTTCTAGCCTGGTGCTCTGACCCTTTGCAATGCAGCTCCTGTGCTTGCCCTGGTAGCAAAGTCCTTCAACTTCCCCAGTGGCCCAGGACTTCTCTAGCCCTTCCTCTCCCATCTCTTTCCTCTTCTCCCTGATTTGGAAACTGCTCAGGCTGCTATGTGCTTGCATAATGCACTGCTCTTCTACAGTGTGCCACAGTATTAAAGATGTGCAGATTTGGCACATAAATTGCCTCTGAGGGCTTATTATGTAGTTAAACATAACAGGTACAGTGCTGTGCATGACACAAGCCAGGGACTGTCCTGTCCCAGTGGAGAATGACAGATGGTGGTTCTTGTCAGGTTTTACATCAGAGGTGAAGGAACGAAATTCTTTCTCTCTTAACACACATGCATATGAACACAAACTCTTTCAAGATCCTTTTTCTGTTTGGGATTAAGACTATGTTTCCATGAAAATGTCTTTTGCTGGAAATGTGTTTTCAGGTGAAAGTATTAACATGAAGTAAATGTTTTCATTTAAAAAGCGAAGCCATTTTCATCTGGGCATGTTCTGGTTTTGGGTTGGTGCAAACTAGATGGTCATGAAGATATTCAAGTTCTCCACGTACAAAAATTTAAATCTGCATTTTCTGAGCAACCCTCGGAGGAGCATTCATAGCAGGCAGTGTTGCTGCTTTATGGCACTAGCAGATTATGGGAAAGAAGGCAGACTCAAAGGAGAATGTTATATATGTTATGCCACAACATATAACTCTGAAAGTGCAAGTTGCTGACAAAATCAATTCTGAAAGTAAACAAGACAAGCATCTTTTTCTGGTGCATTTCTGTTGTGCATGAGGTACGCTGCAAGGGCGTTCCTCTTAAATTGGATTATCCTGACAGTGTCTTGCTGTTCCAGGTCAACGCTGTCACCATTGATGGGATCACTCCTCTGTTTAATGCCTGCTGTAGTGGCAGTGTGGCCTGTGTCAACATGCTGCTCGAATTCGGAGCCAAGCCACAGCTCAGCAACCACCTTGCATCGCCCATTCACGAAGCAGTCAAGAGAGGTAACATTCAGGCAGTGAGTGAAGCTAACAATAACTGAGGAACACATCTTTTACTGATGTTAAAATATTCTTCCATAAAAAACTTGTCTAGTGGTATGGATAAATAGGCTTGGCTTATTCCCAGCTCTTGAGGCTCATTGGTTGTATCTGGGTGTATTCTGCTCTACAGCACTTCAGTGATGGCTCTTCTTCTCTCCACAGGTCACAGGGAGTGCATGGAGATCCTTTTGGCCCATGAGGTTGACATTGACCAAGAAGACCTTCAGCATGGGACCCCGCTCTATGTGGCTTGCACATACCAGAGGACAGACTGTGTCAAGAAGCTTTTGGAGCTAGGTACACCTGGAAAAGGGACCGGGGTAGAGCTATGGTGGTGTGAGCCAGCACTGCTGGTCTCTCCAGGCTGCCACTCCACTGCAAACATCACTGGTTGTTTTCACAAGAGGTGTTTGGGCAGCCCAAGTCTGAGAGACTTGTTTGAGGCTATTAAAAATTTCACCTGCATTGATGAAGAATTTATGGTTTCCTCAGTAAAAAAAGCCCTAATTACAGAGACGTCCCTGAGACTGTCTGAATGTGAAAGTAAAATACTTTTAGTTTTCTAGAATGATGATAGGAAGCACAGACAATGCTGGCTAATATTAGTGACCAAAATCAACTTTTGATTATGAGAAACTGCCTTGCTAAACATTAACTTCACCTACTTCTCAGTGGATGATGAAGATGGCAGTAAAGCTGCTTGAAAGAATAATTACTGCAGGTCCAAGCACAGCCTATGAGCTAGCATAAATTTTTGCTGTCAGTGTACATTAGCTGACTTACACCTGCTCAAAATGTGGCCCTGCTGTGCTTGGTGAGCTTAGGGCAAGCATTTCGCTTGCTGTGCTCCTGGAGTTATTACAATGAGATACCTAAAGGTGTGGGCTTGTGAGTTGTTTGGTGGGTCGTTTTTTTTTTTTTCTCCCCAGCAATTAAATTAACATAATCTATGTTAGATTTTATGTTATTAACAAATTTATAGAACATATGGTAGTCTTTGAACATCTATTGGGTTGAAGGTCAACGTGCTCTGTTCTGTCCATTGCAGACAGGGTTCGATAGCTCAGAGGACTTTCACACAGCAGGTATTTGACCTGCTGAGTTTTGCACTGCTGCTATTGAGAGAAATGAGGAAGGCCTGTGTGCCATCCAACCTCTTCATTTATTGAGGCTACTGTTGGACACCAGCCCATATGATGGTGGGTTTGGACAGTTTTTCTGCCTCCCAGATCTAACCATGCACTCTTGTTCACTCAAGGAGCCAATGTTAACATGGGGAAGCGATTAGACACCCCCCTCCATGCAGCAGCAAGGAAATCCAGCACGGAGGTAGTCATCTTGCTGACAGACTATGGTGCTAACCCAAAATGCAGAAATGCTGAATTCAAATGTGCCCTGGATCTTGCAGTACCCAACAGCAAAGTGGAGCAGGTGCTTCTGCTTCGGGAAGGTAATGGTTTCCTTTCTTCTCTTTTTTTTTTTTTTTAGGTAGAAGAGTATTTATTTCCTTTACCTAAGTACATTTTCTTAACTGCTTTTATGAACAATGCTCTATATAAGTTCTCTTATCTTCTCTACCAATTTCAAACCTGCAGTACATGACAAATAAATGAGTAAGAGATGTCTGTTTTGTTGCTAGATCTGCCATCAAGTGTTAGGGTTTCAGTGGCTAAACTGGTTGGTCATTCTGTGCTTTCTTTTCCTGTCTACTGAAGGAAAATTATATGTATTTACCTTTCGGGACTCCAAGGATTAAAAACTGTTGCAAGAGTTTATTCACATATAATATTACTACCTCCTTGTGTTCAACCTAGCACCATGGCTCAATGTCCTGCTTCCCACTGAAAAAGTGACACGAGTGTGTGTGTTCTCGGTCACCAGGAAAAAGCAGAGCTATTTGCCAGGTGGCTATTCAGTTTCATCGCTTGCAGGTCCTCCATGTGTTTCCTGGGGCTGCAACCCCAGCACAAACCAGCAGTGCCCTTTGCAGTTTACTTTCAGCCTTCCTACGATTAATTATGTTTCCCATCTACTGAAAGAAACTCCTGAGCAGAAATTAATTTAGATCCCCTTGTGTCATTTCCACCTGCACTATGTACAGCCAGAACTTCATCCATCCAATGGCAATATCCCTGGGATATGGACTTGGTGAATTAGGTCCCCTCCCACCTCTAACCTCAGTGTTTCCCTGGTACCCTGTTAGTTGGTGTATGCCCCACCAGGGCTTTGCTGATGCAGGGGGTAAATGGTGCTCCCCCATGCAGGCAGCCTGACACCTTCCTGAGCCCGCTCTCTCTCCACCAAGGAGCAAAGCACAATGTGCACGGAGAGCCTGCTTCCAGCTGCAAAATAGCTCTTGGATGGTAAATTGATATTGTCAGTGTTGTGCACAGGCTTTGTGCTGGCTCTCCGCACACAGGTGAGTTTTATGGAGGAAATGAAACATTGGCTTAATATCCTTCTGTCCTACTCCCTTTCTCCATGGCTTTTCATGCAGAGCTTTAATTTGTCATGTCTAAAACCTTCTGGGAGGGCTTCTGCTTGAATGCATCTCACTTCTTGTTACTTCTGTCCCCATATCTGAGATGTTCAGGGCTCAGCAATGGCCGGCTGCATGAGCAGAGGCGGTGCTTGTGGTCATCCTGCCCCAGTTGCCCTGTGTGAACAAGAGTTTGTGTAGCTGAAGAAATATCCCAATACTAATAATTTTCTCTTCCTGAACTTTGTTTTTGATTTCCACTTTCAGCTGGTCACCCTCTCCTCCCTTACAGTCAATTTCAGCTCCTGCTGACTTTTCATTTTTCAGAAATTAAATTTCCGGTTTTCTCACCTGTCCTTTCAGTCCCACTTTCAGATACTTTGCTGCTAACATCTGCAACTGCCCCTTTCCCCTACTTCTGTGTTTTCTGAGGTCCTCCTGTTTGAAATAAGCACCCCAGGTTGAAGAGTTGCCTTTCTACCTTCAGATGTTTCTGCTGGGGTTACCTAGGTGGCTCCCTTTAATTGCTCCTCTTCCTAGCTATTAAGTGATTTGAGATACAAAATGCTTCTGTTTTCCTAACTGCTTTGGGAGATTGTAGCTTCTTTCTTCACTTCTTCACTTTCATTCACTTCACAGCATAAATGCTTTTTTCTATATATCTGATATTTTTCTATTAATTTCTTCTCAGAGAGGCCATTATCAGCCTGTTAAGTTCCTAAATTTTCCTGTAGTAAAAGCACAGATTATGACACGTTTACCTGGAAAATATAAAGACAGGCTTTTAAGCACACATCTCTCTCTAGTCTGGCGTTGCTGCCAAACACTGTGATCACTACTGTTTGGTCAAAAACTGGAGGGGCAGGGCTGAGACAGGGCTTGAAAACTGAGTTCCTCTGAGCAGGCATGAAGGTTCAACCTGGAGCAGCTCCAGCAAGAGGAAAGCAAAGGGGAGGTAGGGACATGTTCACTAGCAAGTTGCATCTGCACATGCAAGCATGCAGCTGCAGAAGCAACGGAGCCTCATTTCCAGTGGGTTTGTACCTGGTGGCCCCTCAGCTGACCTGCAGTGGGGTGGGCTGGGGGCACCTGCCTGGCCACCCCATGGGGAACCACCGGGGCAGCACTGCTGAGTGTGGTACCATGCAAGCCACTACCCAGGCCAGCCTCACCGTCATCCCAGTGAGTCCTCAGACAGCTTCCCTACCCTGGACTCTCCAATGTTTAACAAGAGTTTGCAGTAACCTTCACCCCAAGGCAAGGCAAGGGCAAAAAGGCCTCTCTTTTCTATTATTTTTTATTCTTAATTTTTTTTTTTTTACCCCAGTGCCTTTTTGCACAAAACTTTTGGAGACTTTCTATCTTTGTGATGTTTTCCTTTCAGTCAGACTTAATTAAAAATGGATGACACATTAAGAAATTATTTTGAGGAGCACTGATAGACTGACTGACATTCATAAATATTCAGAGATGGTAAAAAAAGGCTAAATTGCAGTCACTACTTGTGCAAGTATCTGCTGAGACACTAGCAGTTGGAAGAAACATGTTCTGTAAATTTGAATAACTAGCTGCATTTGCCATACCTACGCACTTATGGCTGGTCTACACTGAGAACCCCTGCAGCTCCCTGTTATCCCTCTTGGTTTTATCCTCACAATACTGCTGGGAGTTGTCTTATATCCTGAGCAAGGGATATGCATCCTGGTGTTCTCTCTCCAGGGCAGACATCTTTATGGTATTTTAAGTATTTGCTCAAGAAAAGCCTAGCTGTGCATGCAGAAAAAGGTTTTTAGTGCTCATAGTTTTCAAATCACTGAACCAACTTTGACAACATAAATGAAATATGAACAATAATGTATTTAACTCTCCCTGACTTCAGCAAGTCACTGTGTATTACTTCACTGGATTTGCAAATCTTGCTGGTGTTTGTTGTTTTCTGACTTATACTGGTGGTGGGGTTGGGGGTGCTTGTTCTTGCTTTTTTTTTTTTTCCCCCCCCAGGTCCTGCCAGCCTTGCCCAGCTGTGCCGGTTGTGTATCAGAAAGCATCTGGGTCGGTCATGCCTATATGCAATCCACAAGCTGCACCTGCCTGAGCCACTTGAGAACTTTCTCCTTTATCGATAAGTCTGTGACTATCTTTATGCTGGAAAAGAAAGAGGAACAAATGGTTGTTTACTCCAAAAATATTATATCAAAGAAAAAAATCAAAGACCTCATTTACTGTCTACTGTGGATAACAAACATTAGCTGCTACGTGATAGTGAAAATCCAAAACACCTTTTCACAGTGAATGATATTATGGATACAGTTCCTTCACAGTCTATTGCCACATCCACTTAACACCAGCCTGAGAAGTTGTAGTACATGAATAGCTCACTTGACATGTTTGTAGATGCACACATTCACCCACTCACCCACAGAGATTTCCCCTGTATTTAGTGTTATATTTATTCATGTAGTATCTCTGCAGCTTTTCCTCTTGTCTATCTAATCTCACTGTCAAAATGAATGTAGTGGCTGCTATTCTAACACTAGTGTGAGAATGAAAGCCTTCAGTGCCCCACATCAGTTGTATATAATATATTGCACATATTTTGTCAGCTTTGACTTTGCATCCTGCCATCTCTTTCCTATAGTCTGGTGGAGTTGTAGCAATTTCCAGCAGGCTCTGACTGTGTAGCCACTGTGTGTCCCCTTGCCCTGAACCCAGCTGCCCTTAATGCTAACACCCTTTGTCATCCGAGGTGCAAGTGATGTTACCAAAGCAGGTGCAGGGGTTTGGCCCAAGCCCACAAAAATGTGTGAAAGTCTAAAAAACCATTAATCACTTCTAAAAAAATCTTTCCTAAGCTATATCACTTGAGATCTGGCTATGTTCATTATGTAAATAAATTTTCTTAGCTTAATTCCAGTACAGAACTGCAAATGTTTTCATAGGTACAGTAGACCAGCTTTCAGTGTTTGTCCTTTGCAAGGTTTAAAGAAAAGCAAAGGAATAAGGTGCTGCTCTTTGGACTTTGTATGCTTTGACATTTCTCTTAAGTCCTTGGACTGTAGAGCAGGAGAGAAGCAGGGCCCCTAAGTATGGGTGTGCATCACCCAAATGTTCTCTTTGTTGGATGTTGCTTACAGGGGGAGAAGTTTACAGGCTTGTTTGCTCCCTTGTCCCCTACTCTAGAGGCTTTCATTACCTCCCTGGGAGAAGGGATTTTTAGAGTGTTATGACTTTGCCCATTGTGGTATTAGTTTAAATATCATCAGGGTTAGTAGCCTGGACACAGCAGAGCTAAAAATGTTCACCTCTTTGAGCTGAGAAATGTGGGATCCAGTGACTGGTGCAATGCTTGCATGGATCTGTAAAGATCTGTTTATTTTTCCTGTGGAGGTTGTTCTGAGGTAAGAAATGTATTTTCAGAACTGAGTTTTGGTAAATGTCTGCCACGAGACAAATGGGAAGTAGAGTTAAAAGGAAAGTCTGTCTCTACTTAGCTCAACTTCTCAGGTCCAAGAGGCTGATGACTCATATTCAAGCTGTGAGATGTAGTGATTTCATTATGAGCTATGCATGCTGGTACCGATTTTCACTGCCCATACATCTTTAGTCAGGAGGAATTGGCCTGCTGGAGCCTGAATCCGGGACTGCCTTCCAGCAGCCTTTGAGCTCCTGTCCCTGCTGCAGCAGCAGCAGCTTCTCTGGTTCGATGCTAATCCCATAATTTCATCATGACAGTTCCCCTCTCTGAGGCATAGGTCTAACGTTTCCCGAACTTTCTTATGATTAATTCAGCACCAGTAAGATAAATCATGCTCCCAGCAGTTCATGAGACTGGACCTGCAATGTTAGAGTCAAAAATTAATGTAGTTTTCAGCCTGTGTTTGCACATATTGAATGCTATCTGACGGCAAGAGCTATTGCCCATAAAGTTGTCAATGACATGAGTGACCTTGTGTAGTACAATATATAATGAATCTCAGATTTCAACTAAATTCTCAAGAGCCTCTGAAAATCAAATACTATCAAGAAAGAAATGTCTATATTAATCTGATGTCATCAGATCTCTCTGTTTTATCTTTACTGCCAGCTCACCTGCTCTGTTTATAAGGTGGCAGTCAGAATGCCATCTGCTATCTAAATAGAGACGGAGCCCCAGCTGTGTGGGTTGTCAGATTTGCATTGCAATCAAAGGGCTAGGACAATTTATGGGATCTATTTCACAATGTATAATACTGAATTGATTTTCTACTGCTATCATCAATGAAAGCAGTATTTCACCTGCATAAGAATGTAAATTGAAAAAATGTATCTCCATTAAGGAAATACAAAGTCTATTCAGACTCTCGGAAAGGTTTATGGTAAGAAGCAGCAGAAGCTGCTCTATATTTATTGCTGATATTAGCTTCCATCAAAAAATCACCTCACCTTTGCTTCCTCCTGGAGCCATCATTCTTCCTGAAATTCTGTATATCAGAGACTCTGGAGGGAGCAGAACCTTAATAAATCAGAAGAGAAGCTCACAAGTCCTGGCATTAAGAAATTTCATTAGGAACTTTACCTAGACTTTCTTGCTCTTACCTCAAAAGATTGTTACCCATTTAATTCTCATTGGCTGTGCTTTGTGTTGTAACAATGCATGGAGATATTACTGAGGAAATACCTGGAGGAGGTTTGTTTTGTTTTTAGTTTTTTTTGGGTTTTTGGTTTTTTGTTTTTTTTTTCAAATATGCCATCTCATGTGACAGTAGGGAATGACTGGGACAATTTGCTAGGAGACTATTGACTCTTATTGGTGATTTTTCAGAATGAGTTTGAAAAACATCAGGTGTGGATACAGCTGTTTTTCCCCAGGCAGGAGAAGGGCTGTCTCATAAGGTCTCTTTCCTTCAAAACAGGTGGTCTTCTCTGCCATTCTATAATCAGTGACAGAAACCAGTTATTTGGGTAAAATATGTTTTTTCTGGGAACACAGACATTTTTCTGTGCTGCAACGTCAACTGCGATACCACATCCCTATGACTTTATGCCCAACAATAGCCAGTACTATCTGCTTCGGTGGAAAGTGCTGCATACCTCAACAGAAATGATTACACAATAGACTGGCTATTGGAAAAGTTTTTCTGAGATTCTGAGTAGACACTAACTTTCAGCGTAAAGCATGGGCTTGAGCTGTGGATGCTTGCTCGCTGAAAAGTCCCTGCTCCTTAGTGTATTTTCCAGGAGTGGTTTAAATACATTACTGATGTGCAGTATAAACCTGAAAGACTTCCTTTTATTGTTCTCAACCTGTTGGGCCGTTTTTCAGGTTTTTTATCCGTCTGTTATGAGAGATCCAGTGCAAACTCAAACTGCACATCTCAACCCTCCCTAGCCCCAGGGGAAGGCATAGGTATTCAACGAGCCATCACCCCTGTGGCATGTGTCCTGCTCATGGGCTTCTCCGCTGGCACATCCTTGCAGGAGTAGGACTGTACTAGCCGCTGTCTGTGTTCGTGCAGAACTGGAGCAAGTAATTTTGCTGTGCTACGTGCTGTCTGGGCTATCTCCAGGCATGGCACCTCCACTTGCTGGCCATCTGCACGCACATACCTGTTTTTCTCTGTGTCTGACCACAGTAGGGGACATGCCACTGTTCACAGTTTGCACTAATTTGTAAAGACAGTTGCGGTGATGCTTTTCTTACTTCCCCCCTTGTTGCTATCCCAGCACCCTGACCCAAAACCTGGCTCCACAGGTTTTATTGTAGCTTGAGAGCCCTTTTTCCCAGAGTCCTGTTTGCAAGCTATCTGGCTAAGGGGCCATCTCCTCAGGGATGTACAGTAGTGAAAATGAATAGACTAACACATTTTGAAAGGGCTTCATGAACAATGTTTCTCATGGTAGGTAGGAAAAGAGAAGTTACATTCTAGTTTGGCACCTAAAAGATCTGTTTTGATATCCTGACCAACCTGTTGGGCTCAAGGTGACCTCTGTCTTCTACAGTGCAACTCTGTATTGGCATTTAACAACCCTTCACCCTCTGTAGGACTCAACTTTTCATAGAAGATGTGCTAGTTCCTGATTGTCTGTCTGTCTGAATCTCCCATTTACAGAGTGAAATCAAAAAGGGGTGAAAATGCTAAGCTGCTGAAACTTGTGGAGCTGAAACTGCCCACATCTGTCTTGAGGTGCTGACATCCTACCTGCCCAGGCAGATGCAGGTTCTGAGGGAAACACCTGTGTGCTTCCTCTTCTTGTCATGGGCCATGCCTAATGCCACTTTGGACAACAGGACAGGGTGCTCACGTCCTCCAGACTCTGTCTTCCCCCAGGGAACTTGAGCCTGGTCAACATCCACCTCAGGGCACTTAGATTTCTTCTTGCCACTTGGGCTGTGCTGCCCCTGTGCAAACCCTTGTGAAGGAGGTTAGCATCCCCTCTGTACCACCCTCTGTCCCCCGCTTGCTGTCTACTCTGCAGGGCAGGAGGACCAGGGGCTGCCCGACACCTTGCTGTCCAAAACCTGACCTCTGTCTCCTGCAGCACAACTCTGCTACTGACATTTAACAACCCTCCAGCACTTACTGGATTGAAAATACTGGTGGTGTGTCGTCACAGCAGAGCGTTAGAGCAAGTCTGATAATAATGTAAATGAAACACATTCACTGACTCTTAGTTGAAAAATCCGGCTGACCTATATGCTGTGCTGACAGTTCATGATGCCTTTGTGTATTTTTTTCAGAAATTAACTTTTTCTATACACCAATTGCTCCTCACTGTGATTTTTTTTATGTTCTGCAAGATGTATAATACGTTAATGTCAAATACAGATTATTCCACACAGACCACCTATCTAATTTGATTTCTATTTCTTGAAAATTCCTTTATCCTTAAATTTTATACCATTTGTAGAAACTCATGATGCACATTGCAAGCAAACAGAAAACTACATCAGGTTTGGAATTGAAAAATCTTCAATAAAAGGTACCAGGAATTGTGGAAGAAAGCATAATTTGTATATTCAGTTGAGAATAACATCTAGAAGGGGGGAGAGAGCAGACCTTGTCATTTTAGCATTTTGTTTAACAAGTCAGGCAAAGCAACACACTAATCAGCAAACCATTGCAACTAATATATATATATACTTACTAGCAATGGATAAAAAGTTTCACGTGTGTGAAAGATTTTGAACTTATTTTTCAGTGAATTAATCTTATATATCCAGAACTTTCATTCACAACAACCAGCAAAACTACTGCAAATGCCAAAACCCAGCACATAATCAGTACAGCAATTTTTGTCATTATGCACCTAGTCTGTGGTATTATCTTCTACAGGTTTGGGTTACCAGGGTTATCACAAGCTTGGCTCACTTTCATTCAAGCTCAAAAGTGAGCTCTGAGAAATACAATTACATTCCAGCTATGTAAAAAAAAAAAAAAAAAAAAAAAAAGTGATTTTGGTATTTGTGGTAATGAGGTACTTAATGCTTTTAGCTACAAGATGTACCAAACTCTGTGATGACTAGGAACAGGGGAAAAAATGAGACTCCCAAAGCAGTCTTTGCGGGAAAGGGAGGGCTTGGGTTTAAACACATTTTCTTGAAACAACCTAATGGACTAATATACAGGCCTTTCTAGTTTTGGCCATCCCCCTAGTCATAGAGATTCAGTGGAAAAGACCTGAAGATGGTGAGAGAAGAAATATCCTACCCTTTAACAACTTTTTAGGCCTGGAGGCTGCAGCTATTTCATTTGATCTCCTCCATAACTGGAGCCACAGGACCTCACTCAGTAACTTCACTAACCAGGACTATGCTTTGGGCCAGTGTTTTACCAAACGTGGCTGTCAAGCAGGCTCCTCTGCCTGGCTGGCCAGCACCCCAGCCCCCGGGAGGTGGTGGGATGAGGGTTGTCTTCTCCTTAGCATACATCTGTTCTTGCCCAGAGCCTGGGGCTGCTGCTGCTGCCACTGCCAGCCAGTGAGTGCACTGTGCCAGAGGGTGGTGCGGGGCCAAAAGGCTGACGAGTTAATGCCTGTGATTCTGGTAACCCAAAATTATAGAAAATAAGGTCAGTAAGGACAAAAATTGCTATGTTGACTATGTGCTGGTTCTTTGGCATTTGGTAGGTGAATTTTGCAGCATCCTACCATAGTTTTAGCTGTATGTTACCAAGGAGTTGCTAGCAGTATGTTTTTGTGGTGGATGGTTCATTTTCTGCCAGGTCTCCCCGCTAGCTATAGAGGTTAACATGCCATAACAGTGTAAAAAATAAATAAAATGGGAAGGGAGGGAGATTTTGAGATTTCCAGAGAAAACGTTCTAACATTTATTTTATGTCCCAGGAACGTGTGTGAGTAAAATGCCTTTTTTTTTTTTTTTTTTTTACCTAGAAAGAGGAGAATTAAAGACTCCACAGGCCTTATGACTGAATCATTTAATGAAGTCCATGTCGTGCTCCACCACCTTCACAAATATTAATGCCAACTTCTTTTTCTGTTTTCCAGGGCTGGCAAGGAACATTCATTATTCTTTGTATTTGGAGAAGGGGGGGGATGTATGAACTTACTGAATCCCAGAGAAAGTTAGTTTAAAGCTAGGATGTTAACAATCTTTGTTCACTGCACTTTTCTCACACTAGATCCTGGATAAATTCCTGTTTTATGCTAGTCACAATGAACAAATGATTATAGGTGACAATGGCCCTGTGTTTATTTGAAGGCTGGTGTAGCAATCCCCATCAGGGTGATAGGATTTATAAACAGTGGAAACAAGGCTTTTATTTTTTTTGCATTTTATGCATTAACAAAAATAATTACACCAACTAGTTATGGCAAGTGGGAAAGAAGTATTAAATGAAGAATATTAACACTAGCACGTTTGCATTGTATAGAGTTTGTGAATTGCTACCTGCTGAAGATCATCTTCAAACTCTGTGTAAACACTACTCCTCCCTTTTCATGATGTCTCCATCACAATGTGAGCTGAAACATTTTTAAGGACACTGACCCAGAGACGCATCCTTTGCTTATTATTTGTATGTCGTTATCTTGCAGAGAGATGCTTGCTTTTAACTGATTCAGAAGGTAAGTTCCTGCTGCCTTTAGCCTGTGTATAAAGCTACTTTGGCTTTGTCCCAGAAGCTTTGTGCCTTTCATCACTGAGTACCTGTTGAAGATCGCTCATCCCCAAATATCCCAGAATAGCTCTTAATTAATGAATGGGATAATTTTGGTTTGCTATTTGTGCTTTCGGTGTCACTACAGTTCTACAGCAAGGCATATATAAGAAGCATGGCATCCTGAATAACTACAGTGACCAAAGAACAGATTTTTTGGGTTGGGGTTTTCCAAGGCTTCAGTGAAAACTTTCCTCTAAAATGATGCCAACAAGTTTCCACAAGCAGGTTCCCACAGGCTGTTGGTGTAGAAAGGGCCTTGAGCCTGACACTGCTTTTTGCTCTAAGTGCTTTCCAGTTCTGCCCTCAAAGCACTCCCCTCCCACATGCTGCAGGCAGCCACAGTAGCAAGGCACCACAGCTGCTCTGATGAGTATCCGGGGGGATGGCAACTAGTTTGACATTTGTTAAAGTCTTTGAGCTGAAATGACTCATTCTGTGCAGAAAATTTCCATGTCTGCTACTCACCAATTGTAAATGGATGAGAAATATCTAGGCTTTTCACGCCTGCAGCAGCTTGGAAAGAAATATGTTTTTGCTACTGACCATGAAATTACTTGTTAGGGATTTTGTTTCTTTTTTTTCTTTTTCTCTCTTTTTTTTTTTTTTTTTTTTTTTTTTTTTTT